CTATAGTCAGCAACTGGAATGGTTAAATCAAGCCCTTTATCAGAAATGCCTTTCACTCATCAATTGGAAAGGTGTTCTTCTCCACGACAATGCATGTCTACATATGGCACGTTTGATGCAACACAAGATTATGGAGTTGGGTTGGGAAGTTCTCTCCTACCCACCATATTTTCCAGATATGGCACCATCAGATTACCATCTTTTTTATTCGCTGCAACATCACCTTAATGGGAAAAAGTATGCAAGTATGGAAGATGTTAAAGAGGACGTTGACATGTTTTTTTGCTTCAAAGCATGTGATTTCTTTAAGGAAGACATTAACAACCTCATTGCAATATGGAAAAGCATCATCAATAAGAATGGAGACTATTTCATTTAATAAATGTTTTGTTTTGATATAGAAGTTGTTTGGGTTTTTTCATCTAAAAAAGCAACATTAATTTCTTGATGACTTAATATTTACTTTTAAAAAATTAACTCTAAGCTTAGGGGTCCCCTTTCATGTCACAAGATTTTACTTAGTTAAGTTGAAAATGTAATTAAGCAATGTTACAATCAATGTATGCCAATGAAAAATTCTTAAACTTCAGTTTTTGTTGTCACATGAAGCTTAAGTTCACATATTCGTAACTTCTTGGCTCTGTCACTTGAATACTTCTTTAATGTACATTATACTTCCACATATAGACAGAAACTAAGTCAACTGCTCTGTTTACACATTCTTCTTTCGAGCCCCTTAGGGCACATTTAGAGAAAGGAGAAATAAATTTCTTGGAACATTTAACAGATACCAGGCCCTCTTTCTACACAATGAACTGAGATTTCTCAGCCAATTATACTTAGTTTAGCTAGATGTTTATAACCAATAGCAAGAGTAAATTATAAAATACAATTTCCCAATGGTTATTTTAAAATTGGTATGAAGAATTCCATACAGAACTAATCAAACCACTCTTTGCATTGTTGCTGCTTTTGTCCACACTAGCACTGTAGCATTGTTTCTTACATAGAAATACATTAGTTTGATAGACAGTTGAATTATATTTAGGTTTTCATTTTATATTTTACTTAATTATGTGTTATTTATGTTTTAAGATGCATATATGAAAGATTTATTAATTATTTTTTATATAACCCTATGTCTCTCGGTCCACAAGAGTTAGTGTAATATAATAAGTTAGTGTGTGTACCATCACATTCTGCTGATGGCTAAAGTTCCTCTGTCCTCGATACTGTAATAGTGGGTGACGACACCCATTGATGTGTGTTGCGATAAATAATAAAATCACTAAAGAACAGGAAAGGAAAGTTAACATTTTTCTCAACTAATAATGTACTTTTGATAGATATCTCCTCTCACAAAAAACTTTCTTGACTTATACTACCCTCTATTGGCTCAAATTTTTACTCATATCTTGTCTTGATACTCTCACTTACTTCTGCATACGAAAAAATGATTATGAAGCAACCCTCCACCAATAGGAGTTCAACACTACCCCTATCATAACTAGTGCCCTCTCTAATCTTGCCATTGTTAACCACTTCGAGATTGGTCAGATCACAACAAACTACATTGGAGGAGGGATGGGTGGGAAGTGTGAGTGGAGGTAAGTATCTATCAAAAATACATTATCAGTTCAGGAAAATGTTAACTTCCAATATGATATCTTACCTGCTCTAACAACAAGCTAACTGAACTGTTGAAGGGCCAGTAAGAAGCATCTTCATGTGTCCAAAGGAAAACCATGAGGTGTGAGAGGGAATTAAAAACAACACACCCATGGGAGACTCCAACACTTTTGAGCCCGGTATACTCTTCACCCATTAGTAATGTGTCGTCAAAAAGGACAGAGTGGTATTGTAACACTCAGGAGGACAGGCCTCCATGGTCCACCACCCAAGCTGCTAGGAACTGGAAAGACTCGCATACTTCACTTGAAGAAAGAGGGAAAAAGTGCATTGGAGAGTCCAGGGGACTAGAGCACATGGGACACTGCAATGGATGACTGCAATACCATATTTTGACAAGCAAAGTAATCACATCAATGGAGTCGATCATCTAATACCTGGTGGCATCTGGAATTGTATATCAGGTCCACAGCAGAAAGAGCCTCAATGTTACGGATCATCAGAAATGGGAAGTAATCCCAATCTGCTTTACTCACGTTAGTCCATGAATATATTATCTGGGATAAGCATAGTTATGAAGCAGTAGACCACAAGGGATCCTGCAGAACACCTCATCTTGACAGTGTATGTAACATGACCTTTTGATGTGTTATGATATTGCATTTTGATGCATACAGAATACACTGACCAAATCGATCAACCAACACCTGGTAGCATCTGAAATTGTACATCAGGCTAGCAGTAAGAAGAGCCACAATGTTACACTCATCTAGCATGGTACATGATCACACGTCATACAGTCTGGATTAAAGACTAAGTATACCTGGTCAGGCAACACTTGCCACAGAGTGGGATGCAAATATGCAATAAAGGCCCTTGCAACATGAATGGAGTACTTACCACCCATAGATAAACAGTTACAGCCTTGATAATGACCCCGAAGGGAAGATGAAAATGTGCACCCAGGGACATGGTAAGGTGAGGGATCTAACTGGAAGAAAACATTAAATAAGTGACAATCATCAAAAGAAAGGGAAGAAAAATGTCAAGCAAATTCAACCTGGAAGGTAATGTGAAAAAAGATCATGGGAGAGGTGAGGATTTCATGGAAGAAACAAATGGACTCAGGAACCACTGAAGGGAGCAGTATGATGTGTCATATACTATTTAAGAGCCCTGACTGGGCAAAGGAGGTGGACTGGATCGGAATGGTCATAAAGATGAGAAAAAAAGGGGAAGGGAAAAGTACCCTCTCGAGCAGCATAAAGGAACAATCAGAAAAGAGGAAAACATAGGAATTAAGAAAACAAAAATATGACAAACATCAAATGCAAACACATCAGAACAACAACATTCGCATGCCAACAAGAGCAGGAACAGGGACTTTGTTGAGATACAACACTCAACAGGAAAAAGAAAAAAGAAGTATCCATAAAAGTTGACATTCCAGATTAGGAGGAGGAAGAGGAACACTCACCAGTCAAAATCGGTCTATAAGGAAGGGGGGAAGGGTAAGAGTGGCATCTAATAAATTTCGAACAAGGCTCCATTGGTCTATGAAAACCAACTGACGATAACACAGGAGGGCATGACCAAGAGGAACTTAGAGAGAAGCCCATGTCCCCAAAAGAGAGAGAATCTCTTGTGCAGTAGGAAGAGAGGAAAAGTGCTGCATAATGAGACATTCCATAGCTCACAACTGAAGTGAAGCATTTAGGGCCAGACAGAGGAGAGAGTTAAAAAAATCCTGAGATGAACCAGAAAATTGTGTGGGTGTGAGGAAAAGTTGCTCCACTTTGACATGCCAACCCACCATGAAAGTTTCCTCAAGAAGAAACTGAGGATGTTGAACTGAGGAAGAATCAGCCATATTTCCATAGAACAGAGGAAACAAAGGTCCCTGGAATGAATCAGGTGGGCAAAAAATGGGATCTTGAGGAGAAGGGAAAGAAATGGGATTGTGAGACAACAGGGGAGATGAAAGGAAGTAGAGGACCAAACTAACTGAAACTATTTTCAGAAACCATGGATTGACTGCCAAGAACCTTCAAACGTGGGCAAATTTAAAGAGACTGGTCACCATCAGCCCTGATTTGAGAAGGGTGGTCATCCAAGTAAGACAAATAAGGGAAAAGGTAATCAAATTATCGGAGTCCAATCCCCACTAGGGGAGAACCAACACCACCACTGCGAATCCAAATAAGGGAAGTTGGAACGATGATACTCAAAAGCACACAGTATGTGAGGGTTGAGGCTCCCCAAAATAACTTGCATGAACCCAAAAATTTAAGGAAGGAGGAAACACTAAGAAGAGAAGGAGTAAAATATAGAAAACAGGTGATAAGGACAGAACATACCTAAATAATAAAATCCACCAAAGGGAAAAGAGGTCTGGGCAGGTCCCCCAGAAATGACACACTACTAAGACCCATATTCATAAGGGGGGAAAAAACCTGTCCAAATCCAAAACTTTGTGGTTGGTACTTTGGTATAGTTGTGACTATCTGAAACTGCAAGTACATAACTCATAAAATTGAAAGAGAAGATAAATTAATTTGTAACTCTCCACAAAAGTGAACAAAAATGGTAAACAACAATGTAATTAAAGTAGAAAAATTAAGAAAGTAAAAACTTTTGCATAAGTGAATCAAACCATGAGCAAAAACATGTCTATTCAATAAGACTGCTAATCAAGAAGTGGTTAACAGATGTAAGATTACAAAGCATGCTAGTTACGATAGGAGAAGTGTTTGTTTTTGAATTTCGTGCAAAGCTACATGAGGGCTATATGCACTAGCCAGCCCTAATGTAGCAGTGTAAGACTAGAGGGAAGGCAGCTAGTCATCACCACCCGCTGCCAACTTTTGGGCTACTCTTCTACCAACGAATAGTGGGATTGACTGTAACATGATAATGCCCCCACGACTGAAAGGCAAGCATGTTTGGTGGGATGGGATTCGAACCCGCAACCCTCAGATTACAAGTCGAGCACCCTAACCACTTGGCCAGGAGAAGTGTCGCACTTCTATTGGTGGAGGGTTGATGCATAATCATTTGCAAGTTAGTATGCAAAAATAAGATGGAGTATCAAGTCTAGTGGCAAACAAAAATTTGCTCCAGTAGTGAGCAGTATAAGTCGAGAAAGCTTTTCGTGAGGGGAGTTAAGATATTGTATCGAAAATAAAACATTGAAAATAAACTATATGTAAAAATGCAAAAAACATGCAGTTAAAAATATAACCATAAGAAGATCTTTTAAGAATATTTGATGAAATACTATAAGGTATGTACATTTATCCTATGTCTTAGTTTTAAAAAATTCATTGTATTATACTACAGACTATAGTAGAAGTTGATGATAATAGCTATAGTTAGTAATTTTGTAGAGAATGTGAAGAATAAAATGTAAACACTTACCTTAAAAATTTTTTGATATGTATTTAGGAAATTCTAGGGGTTATACAAATGAATTTTGAAAACTATAAGATGAAAAAGTACTCATCTTGTTTTGTTTATGAGAAATGCTACTTGGGCATACTCCCATAGACTTAAATATATAATACTAAAATTTGAAACTACAAAAATTGTAGAATAAACTCAAAAAAGACAATCTATTCTGGCAGAATCTTCTAATTTAGCAAATACCACTGATCAAGAATATAATTTACATTTACTATCACAGCTATTTCACAGTAAGCCAATACAGATAGACATAATATTAAATAAACAACTAATTTATAGAAAAATCTGGAAGTATTATTTTATTCAAATAAAGAAAGCTCTTTATAGTTAGATTTAATTTTCAGAAAGTAAATTAATTTGTGAAATTTAAATATTGTCAGGAAAAAGTCATATTAATCTTACATTAATTTACTGGTTATATAAACGATTAATTAATAAAAAAAAAAATATATATATATATATATATATTTATGACATTGTTATTTAAATTTTAATAAATGTTTTTTAAGAATGCATACCTATTAGACTAGTTTTAAATGGTATGTAGTACCTAAAACTGTCACATTCACTACATTGTAACATTGTGCAGAATGCATTTGGTTACCACTTTGGAAGACTGTAAAACAAAATTACTTAACATTTTAAAAAGATTAAATCAGCCAAAAAAACATTTAAAATGTTCATAATGAAAGTAAAGCCTTTGTTATTAGTAATGCCAAATACTTAATATTATTAAATCACAGTCACATGGTACAAAAAGAATTGGTGCAATTAAGTATCCAAATGGATTTATATGGCTTAGTTAATAATTATGAACCAAATGAAAATGGCTAGAAAGTAGTGTTTATAAGTTTAGTCAACACTTTTTGAATAAATAAAAAAATTTAAAACTTATCAGCAGATAGCTGGCTAAAAACATAAAAGCCAGCAAGTTCTAATGTTTAGCCAGTGACCATCAAAGGTCAATTACATTTTTTTTGCCAGTTGATAATCCATGGATGATTATGAATATTCAGACCAGTTGTAAACAACAGTCTGCTTTTGTTGTTGTTTTTAAGCTGGCTGCTAGTACAACAATTATGGGGAAAAAAATCACCATCTGCTAATCAATCAATTAGCCTCTTCTGGTAGCTTGTTGTGCATTTTACAATGGGATTTTCCATGTTCTAAAATATTTACATTAAGTTTTGCAGTGAAAAAAACAAAACAAATTAGTCTGTGAATCTTATTGTGAAGGAATATTATTAAACTGTAATAACTAGAATAAAGAAGCATTGATAAAATGTTAACTTTATAATACCAATTTTGCACAAGATAGTCAGACCCTGTAATTAAGTTTTATAAAATAAACCTTCAGTTATTTTCAAGAAAGATAAGTTATCATTTCATTCACTTTCTTGCAAACCTTTCAAAGGAACATGAAATTTGTTTCAGACAAAAAAAACACAAGTTTTGTCTCATAAAACAAACAACAGAAAGGCATTTTTGAAAACAAATCAGTTCTTAAAATTTAGATGTATTTCTAAAAAAATAAGTTTGTACTAAATACGTGAAAAGTTTATCTACACATAGAAACTATTAGCTTACTCTGTAGAATTCAGCTGACTGTGCAAGAAAGGGTTTCTCAAAATCTTCTTCATAAATACATCGCAAGTCAATTCCAAGGACCACTAACATTTGACATGCATTTTTAATTGCCAGCCTAAAAATATCCATTCAAATATTTAAAACTTAGCTTCAAAAAGTAGTTTATGCAAATAGTTATAAAAATCAAATCTTCAAGAATTATCAATAATGAAAATTTACATTAAGAATCAATCTTAGATTTCTTATAATAACTTAGTTTTTTGAAGATCTAGTAATCATGAGCTTTAATACCCAAAGAAATCTGTTTGAAAACAAAAATGACAAGAAATTCAGTTTGTAAGTATATTCTAATATCTACATCTATATTTTAAACAAATGGTCACAAACAGGATAAAATCATTAAAAAATAATGGTTAATCTCTTTTTTACTGGCTTTTTCAGTATTAATTACTTTTATTGAACAATACAAATAATGACTTTTCACACAAATACAAGACCTTCAAGGCATGAAAAATGAAATTTTAGAATTCTGTGACATTTAGGATATTCAGCAGTTAAGATACAGAAAGCATATAATTTTTAAAAATGTGCTGTATATGGGCCTTTTATATTAACAAAAAAAAACTGCATCAACTGACTATCAGTTTAATAAAGTCATTCCAAAGAATAGTGTATCTATGATGCAATAATGTACTGAAACGTGTTTGAAATATTTGTGCAAAGCTCCACTAATAATCCACAATTTTGAAGAAATAAACTAAAGGGCAGGCAGCTAGTCAATTACTCTAAACTCTTGCCCCAAAGCAAGAAGTGTCATTCTGTAGCAATGAGATGTGAATCATGGACCCCCTGATTCACAGTACCATGCCTTGCCTGGTCCTGCACTTGGAAATAAACATGCTAATAAAATATAAGTAATATATAAACAATACACATACATCTAGGTGGCTCTTGAACCCATTTGGAGAATCCCAATCTCTTAGCTATATATGGAGTTTATGCAGTTTTGTGTTATACAAAAAATGAAAATACTTTAATGGAAATAAAACAACCTAAGTAACAATTTTACAGAAAAACAAAACCAATTTTTTTAAAAAATTTTTTTGGGCCGAGCTGTAAATTAAATTTATTTCATCCAGTAAAATATAAAAATTGATCTCACTTTCAAATTGAAACAAAATCTGAAATCACATTTTATATGAAAAAATGTTTTTTGAAGAAAATTTAAAAGCACTCACCTGTCCACTACTTCCCCTCTTCTTTCTCTCATTACCATATCTAATAATGTCTCCCTAAGGTGATCCCTAATGCATCCATAACGCACCACCTGATCACGAAAGATGATCAGTCCCAAATTATAAACATTATCTACATTGTTTTGCTGGACGTAAACTCGGTCCTGTAAAAAAAAGTTTGAATCTAATTTAATTCAATTTGAAGATTCAAGTGAACTACAAAATTTAATCTGATCAAATAACCTGAAATTCAACTGCATCTACCACATCCCTTCCTTTCAAAACTAATTATCATAATATGTGTGGTGTGTATATATATGTTTATTGAATAATCATAGTTTTTCTTAGCAACACAAAATGGATTATCATTATTAAACACAACTAAATGGGCTTCTAACACTGTGTGTAAAAAAACTATTACAACTTTTTGTAGCTAACTTAGCAGTTGTACTATACAACACTAGCAGGAGAAAGAATAGGTTAATTTTGTAGAAATAATTTGTGCATGTCAAAATATATTCATCATTTAAAATACTGGAATGTAAATGAAAATCTCTTGAAGCTACTTATATACATTCTGAGGTCATTCTTAGATCTTCGATAGACGGGACAATGTTACAAATGGTTTATAAGATTCATATTATGTACATTGAAGAAATAATTTTATGATAAAACAAACTAATATCAACCCTATAAGCATGGGTGGGGGTCAAAGTATGCATGCAAAGACTTTGCATAGAGTGCCATTTATCATGGTATTATGAAGTTGATGTCTGTTATCAATGTTTCATTTTACCCTTCATTGTTGATTTAGAAATAATTCATATCAGAGTAGAAGAAAAAACAGATACAATATATGGTTGAAAAATTTAGATATGCAATTAGGAGGTCCTAAAAGTCACAAAACCACAACATGCAAACTGTACATTGAGTGTTAGATATACATGACTGTTTCATTTAAACTTAATATAAGAGTTATGATTTAGATAGTTATAAAGCACAAGTGTTTAATTTAGTATTTTAAGAAGTGATAATTTATCTCAGGTTTGCTTATGTGACTGTTTAGGAATTATTTATTGTGTTGTAGTTCAAATGTTGTGAATTGATTTCATGTTACTCAAAACCTACTGAATTTTTCTTGTTACTTAAGTGAGTATTGTTACCTCATAACATCTCTCAGTTTGTAGAAAGTTCTAGGTCTCAGTTGGGCAATATACACCATCCTACCAAAAGTCATGGGACATGGGTAGTTATGAATAAAACAAGTCTATATTCCAAGAAATTAATAGCATGTTGGCCCGCCTTTGGCCTTAATGACTGCATCAATGCATTGTGGAAGACTGTCTACTAATTTCGCGTAGAAAGCTGGCAGTATTGTGCTCTAATTCTCCTTTAAAGCATCAGTAAGCTCTACTACTGAAGAAGGCCATCTTGACCTTGCCTAATTCTGCATTCTAGTTCATCCCAACGATGTTCTATCAGATTGAGGTCGGGACTCTGTACTGGCCATTGCAATGTTTGATGTTATTCTCTTCAAACTATGTGTTCACAATCCTTGCTTTGCGACATGGATGTTATCACGTTGGGAGGTGTAAGACACACAAAATTGTTCAGAACATCAATGTAGGACTCAGCATTCATGGATTCATTCACTGCAACCAGTGGACCTAGTCCATACCACGAGAAACACCCCCCAAACTTCACTGTTGGGACAACACACTCAGGTAATAAGTGTCCTCCAGGCATACTCCATACCCAAACAAATCCATCAGACTGGAAGAGTGTGTAGCGTGACTCGTCGCTCCACAGGATCAATTTCCACTGATCCAAGGTCCAGGTTTGGTGTGCCTTGCCCCAAGCCAATCAATGGTGTGCATTTGTTTTTGTTATTAACAGCTTGTGGGCTGCAGCTCTTTCATGAAAATTCATAGTATGCTGCTCTTGACTTGTTGTGAAAACACTTGTAGGATTGCCTGTGGCTACTCGCATCTTCAAACACAGATTCTCTAGGGTCTGACAGCGAGATGAGGTAACCAGCCTTTTCAAGGTGCATCAGCACCTGTCAATCAGTATTTTACACCTACTTTGTCATTTCTTAGATTCATTGTCACCTGTGGACTTCCGTTTCTTCAGCATGCTACCAATTGTTTACCTGGGAATGTTTATTTATTGCACAATAGCATGTACAGATATTTTCCCCAAATGACATCCAACTATTCTTCCCCTCTGAAACTGTTGGCTCTTTTTGTGTACTCATCGTTTGGTATACAAGTTCAAAATGACTTCCGAGTAAACCACTGACCACCTTTATAGGCCAAACTATTTGCATATTTCTTTGTCAAACCTATTTTCCTGTAATCAGAGGTGTGTCCCATGACTTTTGGTAGGATAGTGTATATATATAGGCGACCAAGTTAGTAAAAGTTATAAGTTAAAGAAAGTAAAAGTGAAAAAAAGTGAAGTTCACCAAGTGATTGTGAGTTTAGCCATAAAGAACATATAGTGACAATTTCTAAAATGAGTTTCACAGCTTGTGTTGTAATAACAGAGATAGAGGAGAATAATTTGTCTTGTCACAGGGTGTTTTAAAGTACCCACATGTGTAGACTTTGACAAAAAAAAAGAGAGAAAACAAGTGGATTGCATGATGTTTGTTTATTGTTGAAATTTATTGCCAATAAGTCACAGACACTTACTGTAAAGAATTTAGCCTCCATAAATCGGACATTGAGAAATATTATTTATATTCCTCAGATGAACATCACCTTGTTCTCTAACTTGTCAGTCTCAGTCAGACTGACTTTGTCAATTCAGAGACCTTATTAACACATCTGAGTTTTTGTTTTATCGTTTTATGCACGTAGTAAATATGGAATTATAATCAACAATACAGGGTCAGTCATTGAACTGACCCTGTGCATGTTATTTGCTTTCTTAAATATCAGACTTTATACGTAAAAAATGAAAAGTGGTTTTAAACCATCAGGTTTTTATTCTCCTTCATTGTTTTCAAAGAAATATATCTTCTTCATCAAAACCAGAAAGAGAAAAGATAGAATTATACAGTGATTGAAAAGGACAAAAGAAAAGAAAGTCTGTTATATTTTGAGTCCACTTCTAGGCAACAAGGGTTAAAAACTGGAAGCTCATTGGTACATTAATTTTTAACATGCATATTTGGCAGACAAATGAACTAAATTTTACAGCAAATTATCAAAACTTGGTTAGTCATTTGAAAGTTTTATATGCTTTTTAATAATTCTCTATGACAAAATTGTAGATAAACCCATGAACATAGTTTATAAGTTTGTTGTATATTGTGCATAAAGCTTATTCTGGTAAATCAATTTTTTAATGAATTCTCCCAGTTTGACTTTACTGCTTATGGTTTACTGTAAATAACAAACCTAATTTCTAGTTTCTTTCTCCAACCAGTCCAACCTCAATATATTTTTAATCAAACTATCAACTTCTCTGGCCCTTGCTTCATCATGCCACTCAATAATGTATGTCATGTTTAAATTAAACAAACATGCAAATTTTCATTGAATTTTCATTAAATATCATGACCAACCCTGGGCAATATTAGAAAGTTGGAAATCTGCTGGTGGGAGAAAAATCTCACCTTTAAGTGTATAATAATACTTACAGAAAGATCCTTTTCAACAAAAGCAATGGATAAAAATGATGCTTACCAATATCCTGTAGATATCTCACTATGAAACACTAACCTTGCTTGTGATAAAGGCAGCAGTTTACCTCCCATGGGGTTTGGCCAACATCAGGCTAATGCATCCTAGATTTTGGGACCAGAGAGTACTGGACATGTTCAGGGACTTCTGTGTTCAACTCTTCTGGATGGCATAACAATGAGCTATGGAAAACAACTTGTCCATGGGCTATGCATGACCCAAAATTTTTCATTGACCCATAGTCACACTCTAAGCATGCCTTCTGTCACGAAAAGACTCATAACTTCCCCAAGGGTCACTCTCTCCACCAGGTACCAGAAGGAAAGCTTAGACTGACAACTTTTCACCTCCAGCAATACCTCAAATCTCTTGGCTGGTAAGGTGGAATCAACTACAGTTGGTTGTTTGCTACCCAGTCAGAAAACATTTGGAAGTTCAACAGAGACTGCTCCATTCAATCTCAGATCTGCCTGACCACAAGTCAACATGTCAACCTTTATTCACTCATGTCTCCTGTGCACTGAGATAAACCCTCAGGAGCAGAACTAAATCGACAGCTCAGGAAGTCCTGGCCTGTAGTTCCTTTTTCCTGAGTCTGTTTTCAGTGAGATCGTGGTCATAGACCTTCACAGCATTGGCAAATGTTCGACATCTAGGAGAGGAATTTTCTTAAATTCCATCACTTTCTGAGACAGTTGTCTACTTTTCATGATGTTCTCTTCTTCTTTGACTTTTAGAAAATTCTATTTTCTCTTGTATTATAATCTTTAAGTTTTATTCATGGAAAAGTTAAAAAGTAAAATGCACTCATGAAGAAAACAGAAAACTCAGTTAACCCAAGTTCAAAGCCAGTGGTCACAGAACCAACATTTCTCTTTACTACTTTACTTTGTGGTAGTGTCTGTTAAAATGATTTCCCATTCAGAAAATAAAAGTAACTGCAGTAGTTAGTGTAATGTCAGGAAATGCATTACAAGTAAATCTAAATTCTAACTTAACAGATTTGAAGAAAATAATTACAACTAGTAAATTTAATCTATTACTCAATATAATCACTTACCTGTGAGCAACAACTATTGATTAGTATCACTTAAACTAATCAAAATTAGTGTTTTCAATTATTCTAACAATTGATTCATCTAAAGTACAATTAAACCAATTGTTTCAAAAATAATCAACTAATTGAAGTCAGGGTTTCTGATTATTATTATTTTTGATTATACTGACTATCCAAGTAATTGAATTATTGAATTGCCACCAAACTTGCTTGCCTTGTTGTTATGATAAAGCTTCTACTGCTATCTGCCACTGTCAATAATGTTTCATTGCTGACTATAAAAGAGGGCATCTGTCTGGCAGCATCTAATACCATACTTTTTGTTTGTTGGTGAACTGTTAAATAGAAGAAAGACAAACTCTCTGGCAGCACCCACAACCAATGTTTTTTTTTCTTGTACATACCATGGTTGAAA